TGGGAAACCCGGGGGAGACTTCCACGTCACGTTAAAAATTTCGCAAATGTCCAATTATAATACGTAATTCTACAAAATGCTGTCTTTTTCTCCATTTTTTTTCTCAAGAAAAGCCTGGGTAAAAATCTTACTTATCTTCATTTTTTACTCATATTTCAAAATACTACCCATCTTTTCATATGATGTTCCAATTTCAGTAGCAATGTCAAGATCAGATTAACCCCCTGCCACTGGAAAACCAGTATTGCAAAGCCTATGTCTATAATATACGTAAAATTTTTTCACAATACGCGTGACTTGACCAAATTTTGACGTTAACTAACAACTTAAAGATGAGCAAAAAAAAATAAACTAAATATCCAGTAAAATCAGATACACAAAGGTTTAAAAAATATCAAGCAATCGTAATAATGACATAATTTTCCTTTTATATACCACATAGGGCGGTTTAATTCTTATTTCACGAATTAAGAATTTAAATGATAATAAACGCGTCAATGTCTCCCCCGCCTTTCCGGTTTCTATGGCAACTGCCATAAAGTTACGATGTTTTTTAATTTAAAATATTCATCAAGTGTCTATATATTTGTAATTTTCAACCAATTTCACTGAAAAATAAATGAAATTATACAATTATAGCTATATTTTAAGGTAAATGCAATGATTCAGAATGATTCAGAATCTAAAGGAGTAAAAGATTTATCAAGCCTTAAGGGTTAGGTAAACATTGTTTTTTGATGGTGGAAATCATCGAACTGACAGAAAAAAATCAGCAGTATTATATATTATTATATCCTTCGCTTGAAAAGCGGGAGGGTATATAGTGATTGGGATGTCCGTCCGTCCGTCTGTTACGCTTTGAGGTATCCATCTCTTATCCGCAAATCTTCATATATAAAAAGATGTGTTTGTGAAACAGCTGTGCCCCTGTATGGCAACATAGCGAAGATTAAACTTTTCTTAAAATGCAATTTAAATATATTGTTACCCAAAGTAGGGTCTTCTCACAAGAAATACAACTGCAAAATAGGAAAGCCCTAGCACCACTTGTTCAAAAGTAATTGCTAAGGATAAGTTTTTGAAAGGTAGGTCAAACTCAAAGGTCAAAGTTGATGATTTCTTAAGAAAATGTTTAATGTAACAAGGATTACATATGTGAAGTATGAATACCCTAGCCCTTCCCCTTCAAAAGTTATGGCCAAGGTAAAAAAAATCATAAGTACGGAAAACTCCAAGGTCAAGGTCAAAAGGTCAGGGTTTTTAGTATCCAATGAAAGGTAATGCCAAAAAACTACATACATGTATTTGAAGTATGAGAGTATTAGTATCTACCGTTTAAAGTAAAAATTTGGCATTTTTGTGTAAAATGGGACAAACTCCAAGGTAAAGGTCAGAAGGTCAAATTTGGTGGTACCCAAAGTAAGGTCTTGTCACAAGGAATATACATACCGGTATTAAATTCTCTGAAAAATATACTCAGAACTGAGTAAAAGGGTGGAGTAAAACAAGAATTAAGGTAGAACCTATGTCGGAAAAGTCTTTGTCACAAGATTTTCAAACTTTTCAAAATGATAAATTAGGACTTGCTTATCAATCAGTTAAGATATCATGATATGTTTCCTTGTTTTTTTAATCTAGAACAGGATGTGAAACTTGGTATGATATTTACATACTGCGACTTCACATTTTCAAATAATTTTAGGGTTACTTGTCATGAAGGGAATATGAAAAATCACAAAAATACTTCTTCAAACATCGTCGTTTATGAACTTTTTTAACAGAATAATATTAAACAATATTTTATCAAGAAATATTTTTTTTTATTCAATTAACGTAAAAGATAAGTCCACCATTAAAAAAAAAAATAGTCAAATGAACTCTATTATTTTTAGTCAATTATTCACCCTATATTTGTAAATATTTTTTAGACGTCTTTGTCACAATGTTTTCAATCTTCAATATGATGAAGAACATAGCCAAATGATTACAAAAAATGATTAAAATATATACCTTTCCCCTGTAACTAATGAACGACTATTTAACGATACTCATATTTCTGACCTTTTTGCATGCGCACTTACACGGGATTTAATAATTAAATGACTGTTTGGGGTTACTTTCAGATTAAATATTTATCAGAAATTGTACTTTTTCTTTAAAAAAAAGAGCATATTTAATAGAAAAATTGTAATCAAACACCAAGAATATGAATAGGTAACAAATAATTGTTAAAAGAAATGCACACCATTTCATTATAGATATCACAGAAATGCACACACGATCAAACGATCTTCAACACATACATCTTTGACTTAGACACATTTCATCAAGATATTACACTATATAGCTGGCAACTAAAGATTTCTTTCGATTTATGCATTCCTTCAAAATGGTTACATACCATTCAAATTATTACGAAAGTTTGTAAACATTGTAATTTCATTACACTAGATAGTCTTGGGTTTGTCAATTTCGGGTATTTTAGGTCTTATACTTACCCCACCCCTTTCTTATTTAGGAGGAAGTCGATATTGAACAAAAGCAAAAAAAAAACATCTTACCTTTATTTTTCTATAAGAAGGAATTAAAAATAAGGTAAAAATAATCTACTATTCTACTAATATTTAACTGTTACTTTGCCACAATTTCAATATTTTATCTAGAGCCTCTTTCAGAATTATTGAAAGGTATAGAGTTTTATTTATATTTTTGCTTTTCATTTATTATTTTTTTTTTTTTTTGATTTAACGTAATGTTCTTTTTTTTTTTTTGGGGGGGGGGGGGGGGGGGGGGGATAAAAATTTCTTCCTCTTTCATTGTCAAATATGATTTGCCAAATTTAAACAAACTAAAAGTTGAAATGACGGAAAAATTTAATTTTTCCTATTAAAGAGTATTTAAACCTGATTTTTGCATGGTTTGATTTCTAAAAACAAGTGGAATATCATTCTTTAGACAAACATTATAAAGAGGAATATTAAAAAGAAATGTTATTTTCTTGAAAATTAAAGAATCTCTTTTCAAACACAATTTTAGCATTGAAAGACTACGTGAATCTCTTAATTATTTCATACTACTTTTTGTATTTTTCTGGTTACAGAAAATGTAAAAATTAGTTTCGCTGTAAAAAAGATATCAAAGAGTGTATATTTTGTATCACTTTAAAGGGGGTCATTTTTCAATGGGGGTCATTATTTTATAGGACTAACATATAAAATAATGACCCCCCTAGGACCTTTTTTCTACAAAAATGATTTTTTTCTACGGGTGGGGGTCATTTTTTGTCGTTGAAAAATGACCCCCCAGTCATTATTCGATGGGGGTCATTATTCGTCTTTACACCGGAATTTATTTATCATTCCTTACAGTATCGGTACTTATTCACTAGGTTTACGGGTTATCTCCCCTTTTCTATGTATCAATGAAAGTGAAAGGTGGGTGATGAAAGCATCCGATTTATTTTTTTTGTATTATGATCTTGAAAAAAAATATATCTATAGTCAAATCAATTTGAAAAGAAGAACCTAGCAATTCATAAGAAAACATCAAGTCATTATGCGACTTAGTCCGAAAAATCTGACGTTTTCTTGGTTTTTTTACGATTTTTATAGATAGTTTTCGATGGACCTAATTTTAGCAAGAGTTACTTCCCGTCGGCCGCCATACTGGAGGTCCGAATGCTTCTAGATTCCTTCATTGTTCAACCAATTTTAAATTTTTATATTTGCGATTTTTAATTAGGAATCATTATTTGTCTGAAGTATATAATTTTTTGGAAGCCTCCTTTATTTAAAAAAAAATTATAAAGATTTTCCACCAAATATTTCTGCTATATTTTCTTAAACTTGGTAAGACAAAGAGAAAAACTCACCGAGTCGACTTCCAATATGGCGGCCAACGGGAGGTTACTTTCGCTAAATTTAGGTCCATCGAAAACTATCTATTTTACATGCTAGGAAAATTCCTGGCATGTAAAATATCAAAATCGTAAAAAAACCAGGAAAACGTCAGATTCTTCGGACTATATGCTACTTAACGAGAGATTGTATTTTGTATTATTGTATCGACCACAGATTTTCAAATATTTTGACATGAAAAGAGACTTGATATTCTTTTATCATCAATATATTTGTCAATATATTGTTTTGTTTAGGAATTTAAATTATTAGTATGTAGGGAAGTTAATAATGGTATATAATGAAACATAAAGAAAATAGGCTAAAAATAAATTGAAGTCATCGCGTGCATTGGTAAGTCATATTGTTAAAAACTATTAACCTTTATTTAACAAAATATCCAACAATGAAACAAATATGTCAGACATTATGTTATATTTTATTTTAATTTCAAATTTATTTTTAGCTAAATGCAGCTATGTGGTCAAACTTTTTATCATATATGTACGTAAATATGAATAAAATACAGACCTGAGGAACCAAGAAAATTACATGAACTTTAGATATATCTGTAGGTAAGCTGTAACATGGTATAAAAACACATTTGAAAATATCTGTTTCACATGTTTGTTTTTCATAACAAAAAAATTATGTGCCATTGATCCAAAAATGTCTAAAATGATTTCAACATTTTGTATGTTATTTAGTAAAATCATCGTTTGGAAGGCTAAAACGTACATAAGAAAGATTAGATTTATACATCATTTAAACTTATTTAGTTTTGAATTTGATACTGATTTTACACCGAAACAAATTTGTAGGATGTAGAAAGTTGGATGTTTTTTTTCTCTCGATAGCTCGTTTATTATTTTCAGGGACTAAAAGATGTGTTTGTTAGGAAGGTGTTATTGTGTAATCTGAGGTTTCCTCAAAATAAAAAGCCTTCTGTGTATAGAAGATACGAACAAACAAACGTTTTAGAAATGTATCACTAACGTGAAGTAGATTTTTTTTTACTTGTCTTATTTATTATCTTTTACTTGACGTCTTAACATCTAATATATATCTCCAAGTGCCACCATAGCTCTTATTTAATACTTAACAAAGAGACATGCACTGGTTTAGCTCAACGTTTGTAATTGTTTTGATATTAATCATACGTCAACAGAAGACAAAATGCCAGCCGCTGTATGATACCGATACAGATTTTTGGAATTTAGAAAAGAGAATGTTTGAAATGGAGAAAGAAATATTTCGACTGCGTCTGGAAAATCAGAGTGAGTTCAATATATTTCTATACAAAAAGAATTAGACTCAGATCCTGTGTCTATTGCCTCTATTTTTTTCCCCTGGCTTTTAAGGAAGCTCTAACCACTAACAGAAACTGCTTTTTTGAAAAAAATATTATATAAAGGTGTGCAAATATTTTGATGCAATTTCGTTTATTTGTAACATAGGCTATCTACCTCATTTCGACAGGAATAATATCCACATACTATATGTGAGCAGAAATTACGGCAGCTTACTTACCATGGGAAAATTAATGAAAATAATGAATTCAAAAACTTATACTTGGTCTCATGTAATGATAAAAATATTTTGTAATTTACTGTATATAACATTTTTGAAAATCTTATATACTTCTAAGGGCAGATCACTCTAACTGCATAAAACAACACTTATCTATTAATAAAGCTCTAAGTGTACAGTGTTTAACGCTTCCTTATTCTGTAGAGTTTCCAAAGGTTCAAAATGAAAATTAACTGAATAGCATGTTGCCTAAGCCTGTAACAGGATCAAATTGAAAAGCAGAAAAAAAATTCAAAATTGGTCCCAGGCAGTTATAAATATGCTAAATATAGAGGTGAAAATCTTTTGATAAACACAACCTAATTAGTTAATTTTTACTCGTAAGTTGTTTAAATATGTGATCGATAATATCACTTGAATATATCAGTATCACTTGCATATGGGGTTTGTATATCTCCATTGATACAATAGGCAAGAGAATGCTCTACGTGTAAACAATTTCTAAAACGAAGTAAGTAAATATAAAAAAGTTTATGATACAAGAATATCAATAGTCTTGCTTAAAGTCAACATTTCTAAGACTTTGTCAGAAAATACAATCTATCATTAAGTCAAACGCGGACTGATGTTTTACAAACTAGTTGTTTGGTCATTATTTACACTCTGAATTGTCCTTATTTTTTGACTTTGACAAGGAGTGTGTGACTGGTCGCTGAGCCCACCTCTGCTGTTTTAGAGGTCCTTGATTGCTCTTCTCCTGATGTGTATTGTTTAATGGGCTTTTGAGCTTGAATATTGTTCGATATCTCTAAAGCATTTCATTCGATAAAATACCACATTACAGTCATGCAGGCGCGGATCCAAAATTTCGGTTTCTTATTTTATTTTCTATGCATCTATCATCATCAAAGGTAAATAAAAAATCAATCTGACTCTACGCAGAAGTACTCTGAAGTTGATATAACATGGATTTTTCCAAATCTAAATATTAAAAAAAAACCTTTCAATTAGTCGTACAGTACACTATGCCATAAGTATTTCATAAAATGACTAACGTAACGTAACATGAAAAACATAAACACAAAATTCAAAGAATAAAAAATTTCCAAAAATATTAAGAACTTACCATTTGGTCGCTAGTATTTGGTTGTATGACCCTCAGATTAATAACTTGTATTTCATAATGTTGTGGCATTAGAGGAGTGAACCGGTGCACGCGTCTTGTATCGCTCATGAAACTTAGTAACCTAGACTGGCTCACAAAAAGAATAGTAGCATGTCATGTAGGGGATATCCACTCTCAGATGTAATTTCTTAAAGCATTTTTCATAGGGGTAGACATTTCATTTTACTTTTAGTAGCCATCTTCTTAAGTATACTGTCATCTTGCTAACTATTTTATTTACAGTACAGATATTGCGTCACTTTAATAAAGTGACGTCATTAAATTATGGTATACATCCTATGAAAAAGAATGATAATTTGCCAACACAAAAGAAAAAAATGGCTTTTCTGAATTTTGATAATTTGGCAGCCATTTTGATGACTGTCTTATGGCCAGGTACTGTATATTAGCTGACGTTTTTCATACCAATTGTAAGACATTATAATGAAATTTAACCATGAAATACCATGTCTATAATCATTACATATAAAGCTCAGCGGGTATAACTGGTCAACAGTCAACTAGTTCTTCGTCACTAGAACATTTTTGTATTAAGGTCTTAGAACAAGTTTTTATCGTTTAAGGTTGAATTACGCGCTTTTAAGGTCAGATGATACAAACATTATTTTCTTTGTAGGAGACTTAATATCATGTCACAGGTTTAGAAAGTATTAAGTATTACTTCAAAGTATTAAGCATTAAACAATTTTTTCAGGGAATAAAAACCGGCCAGCCTTTTCTGCTTTTCGTCAAGAAGGTACAACACAAGTCATCAAGTACCCGGTACAGACCATCATCTACAACAAGGTCCAACTTAACATTGGAGGGGGTTACAACGAAAGCTCTGGAGTGTTTACAGTACCCGTGGGAGGGGTTTATGCATTTTTCTTTGGTATACAAGTCGAATCCGGCAAACGCATGTCTGTTCAATTCACGTGGAATGGAATTCCGTATAAGGAAGCCACAGCTGGTTTGATATCTGATTACAGCACCGGAAGTAACATGATGATTATAAATGCGGGAAAAGGTGACTGTATGTGGATCCAAACAAATCCTGACTGGTACAGCTATGGGCAGATAAATATCAGATACGATCCCAACTATTTCTCTGGATTCCTGATGTATGAAACCTAATTAGTTTTCTAAGGACTATGTTAGCAACATGCTATAGATTGCTGAACTGTATTTTTTTTTTTTATTTTTTTTTTGCCAATAACAATCTTCTGTAACACCTTTTTTTCCAGACTGGTCCCACGATCATAAAGCAGATTTAGAATAAAGTCATTTACGTGTAAAATGTTTAGTATAGTCAACCAAATCTCCACAATACGCAAGTGAGTTAAGGCTAAATATGGTTATTTTTATGCAAATGAGCTAATAAAAATTCATAAGTTGTATAGTTTATGTACTTAGAATGTTCAAATTGATTTTCTTATACATACTTAGTACCCACAGTTTATTAATGCAAGTGCACATTATGACGTCATATTGTGACGTCATTAATCTCTCCCATTCAAGGTAATAAATCACATCAACAAAATCACGTCGGCGCAAGGGCATATCCTATCTAATTTAAAATAAACAATGTATAATATTAAGCAGAATATTCTTAAAATTAATAAAATTGCTGCACAAATCCTATGCACTTTCTCAATCGATAAATATTTTAAGAAAATTACACTGGACTGTGAATTTTTACCCTGTTTAAACTTAAAACTGCACAAATAGTAACTAAACAATTGCAGTGCCGACATTTGTGCAGCAATATCTTATATCCTTGGTATATCCTGCGTATTTTTATACCTTGTTTCTGTAAAACAAAGTAAGGTATGCCCTTGCGCCGAAGCGATTTTGTTGATGTTTCTTATAAACTTGTGTAGTAGAGGTCGATGACGTCATAATATGACGTCATAATGTGTACTGGCTATCGCATGTCGTGGGTACCAAGAATGTATTAGAATACAAGCCTCAACATTTTCTGTGCGTTAGGTAGAGCAGTTATGGAATTTAATTAATATTTTGTATAGAAACCTCCATATGTAGCCTTAACTCACTTGCGTAATGAAGATAACAGCAATTTTGTGGTGCAATATCAAATAATGTTTTTATTTTTAACCATTTAATATCAACAAAATTTCAGCAACAGATATGATTTGACTTAAACTTAAGATCTTTTATGATCCTTGGACCTGTATTGAAAAAATAGAATTGCACAGGTGAGATTTCCAATGCAGTTACAGGCAAATTTATTCTTAAGAAAAAATAAAAGAAATAGTTTTTAAAATAGAAAAAGAAAACGGATAAGAAGAAGCTACAGTTTCAATAAAAATTAAGCCCTCTATTTTTCTAAAATATGAAAGTGATATAAGAAATCAAAATTGATTCTTTCTGAATCATAAGAATTCCCTGCAGTAAGAATACACAAATCGTTTTTCTTATATGACCTCCTAAATGCTAATAATTGTGATGTCAGTGACTTGTGATTTTTCCCGTATTTTCTTTAAAAGATGCAGAAGACATCACTTTTCAGTGAAATTTTCTTTCAGAAAACATACTCTGCCACCGTCGCCCAGAAAGATTTTGAGAAACATGTATTTGATTATTCATAGCAGTTTACATATTATATCCAAAATTTAAAGTGGTCGATGGTGGGAGACACTGTTTCCTGAAGGAAAATTAGCACAGAAATGAGTCATTTTAAGGTTTTCTGCATTAAACTTAGAAACGTATCATATTAATGACGTCATATTTCCAAAAACGTCCCTCTTCATCCCACATTCTTTAACGATTCATCATATTCATCTACTCTACTATTACTAAAGCCATTTTCATGATTTTTAAAGAACATTAAATATTTATAGCACAATAAAGCTCAAAATGTACCTTCTTCTTAAAAAAAAGAAGAAAATAAGGACAGAAAATGTTTGGAAAATTCGATATGCTTCAAAATTGTCTGGAGATATGATTGTACATTAATTGCAGCTAAAATTTTCAAAGTGGTATGGATTAGACAATTTGTTTTTAATTTTTATTTAGATGTAATGACCCTCTGATAGAAGAAATTCTTGTGAAAAAAACTTATCTAAAATCATCTTGTAGTCTACATATGAAACAGTACTGAATTAATTCATCATTTACTGTGCATCACACAAATCATTCACATAATTATTTACATATGTAGAATTTTGTATTTTCCTTTGCCAACATTTGATAACTATTTGCAATAATTAGCCTATAATAATAGCATCATCCTCTTAGTTCTTATTAGTATATATTTAATTCATTAAAAAGAATGTAACAACTGGAGTCGTGCATGTACAAAATAAAATTGTCTTTCTTACAGTATATATTTATAACACAAAGAAAAATTGTAGAAGGATAACTCGTACTAATATAATCATTTTTTTTTCAGCATAGAACTTATACAAACAACAGTGCTTTAGTAGTTTTCTTCATATAAATTTATAACCTTTAACACTAAAAATATATTATAGAGATATGTATGGTATGGTATTGTATATTTTATAAAAATCTCTTTTGCCTGTAACACATTTTCTTTATACTAGTATCACGTCTGGACACATCGAAAATAAATTCATTTTTCCCATTGCAATCTAAAACTTTTGTTGATGGTAAAAAAATGTTTTTGTTATTTTATGAATTATATACGAGAGGGCTAAAAGGCATTTGTTGAGTTTGACAAAACGCGTGCAAATTAATTATAAATCATGAAAGATTTCTAAAAAATGATTAATCTAAATTTCTTTCCGAGTTATACCAATGTCAGGAATATAAATTGTGAATTTTATTATTGAGTTTTTGAAGGAATCAGCATTTTTGGATGAAGAATTAAAGAATAATACATATACATATTCTGAGTAGATCAAATATGGGTATTTAAAATTCAGAGATTGGATCAGATACCATGAAGAAGAAATTGTAACTGTCAATTGGTCACGTCTGCCACGTGCTCGTTGTCTATAGACAATCAAATGTATATATAATCGTCTAACTAATAGTATGAAAAGACATGCATTAGTCGGCATGAGAGTTAAAAATATATTTTATTTTATGATTTAATAATTCCCATCTTTTTGATTGGCTGAGATCCAACAATGGAGAAAAATGCTACGTTATATTTGCTTGCATGTGACGTTCCAAGTATATATAAGGATTTATTTTCTCTAAATCGATCTAAAATAGAACAAAGATATTTTAAATTGATATAAATTGTTTATAGTAAATAGTGAAAAAACCCTTTTTTTGTTGAAAAGTTGAAAACAATCTGCACAACAACATGTTGTTGCCCTTTTATTCACTTACGCAATTTTAAATCCTGGGACCAGTGTATCTTCCGTCAGCCATACCATGATTGCACAAAATTTATACTGATTGCAAATGCGGAAAACGATGTCTTTAACTCTAATGTATCGATTAGCACTAAAAAATGTGATCATAAAATTGTCATCATCAACATGCACGTGCTTTTGGCTTTTTATCACTTTCCCTACGTGATGCCATACATTTCATGGTTGAGTAGTTTTGACCAGCAATTTAAATGCAAAGTAACAAAAATACATATATGGCTAATTTTCATAATTTTCAGCCACATAGTCAAAGATTTTTCGCATATAATGTTTTTATGCGTTTCTTTTTCCTTTCAGTATAAAAAGAGCGTCTAATCATTTGATCAAATTTGAAATTAAAACATAGATGCTTTTTACGACTTTGGCTTAAATTGGGTTCTAATAATTTTTTTCATTTGAATTCTCATGTTCGTGTCTCATGAAACGTTCTCTCAAATCATTTTAAAAATATATCAATGAAAAATGAGATTATGTATTACAAGAGGCCCAGGGGCCACAGCGCTCACCTGGGCACATCGGCTAAAAAAAGCACATATCAGATCGGAACTGAAAGATTACTAAGAGAGGGATGTGGGCTTGCATTTTAACCCTCAGGGGATCATGATTTGAACGAACTAGAATCTACACTACCTGAGGATGATTCCATATAAATATTACTAATCATGGTTTTGAAGTACTTGAAAAGAAGATTTTAAAAGATTTCCCTAAATATTCGTATGTAAAACTTTGATCGGTCATTTTGGCCCCACCCTACCCCCGGGGGTCAGCATTTGAACAAACTTAAATCTACACTACCTGAGAATGATTCCACATGAGTTTCATTTTTCCTGGTCCAGTGGTTCTTGAGAAGAACATTTTTAAAAAATGCCATTAATATTTCTCTTATTCACAATTATCTCCCCTTGGAAAAGGGTCCTTTTACCCAAGGATACTTTGTAGCAAGTTTGGTTGAAATTGGCCCAGTGGTTCTTGAGAAGAAGATGAAAATGTAAAAAGTTTACGACAACGACGACGACAGACGACGGACAAATTTGGATCAGAAAAGCTCACCTCAGGTGAGCTAAAAACGCATCTTTTAGCACATTCTATATTGATAGTATTTACTAATCATGCTATATCTGTAAGGAAATTAGACTGAATAGCGAGAACAGGTTATTACAGAACTGAGTTTCAGAAAAGGGAAGAGCATTCTATTGATGAGTCGCAATCATTTAAAATGCTTATAACTGAATGTCAAAGACTTTCGTAAATCGATTGATAATCTGCAGAATAATGAACATGCTTAGAGAAAAATGCAACATCTGGCTTCTTTTGTTTTTGTCAAAATCATTTGATCATGTGGAGACCTCCCTTCAGCAGCTTCTATACGTGCCTGAACAAGCGCTTCTTCTTTAGTCATGTTTCCATTTTTAGAACGAATTTGCTCTTCATCTAGCTAAATGTATTCTTCGGCTTGTTTATACAAAGGATGTTCAAAATGGGGCTTTTTTCTATTTTGGCCAACCAGACCATGTAGCATCGTATCAAATTTCTCGATACATTCACTTGGAATGTTTGTATCTCTCCCGAAGCAAATGTATCTGTTGTCGCACTTTTTACAAAGTTTTCTCATTTCTTTGGACTCATCCAAATTTTTTTTCACCTTTGTCTTGTCTAACTACGTGAATATAATTATACAATATTGGTATGCTTCTATTCCACGCATGTCGTCTAATTTTTCTAATAACTCAAATTCTTCTGGTGTAAGCAGTGCCTCTTCAGAGATTACTAACAGCAATGCATGAAACCCAGGCGATGTTACGGAGAGGCAACGCTGAAGAGATTTTTGAAA